GATCTTAGATTAATGACATCAGGACCAAGATGTGGATTAGGAGAAATCTTATTACCACCAAGACAACCAGGAAGTTCTATTATGCCAGGAAAAGTTAATCCAGTTATTGCTGAAGTTATGAATCAAACTTGTTTCCAAGTTATTGGTAATAACACTACAATTATGTGGGCTGCATCTGCTGGACAATTTGAACTTAATGTTATGGAACCAGTTATGTTTTATGATCTTCTTACTTCACTTGAAATAATGAAGAATGCATTCTTCACTTTTAGAACAAATCTTGTTCATGACTTAAAAGCAAATAAAGAAAGAATGCAATGGTTTGTTGATAATTCTGTTGGAGTTATTACTGCACTTAATCCACATGTTGGTTATGAAGTTGCTGCTGCTACTGCTAAAGAAGCTATTGCTAGTGGAAGACCTGTTAGAGATATCATTCTTGAAAAGGGTGTTTTGACTAAAGAACAACTTGATATTATCTTAAGACCTGATGAAATGACTACTCCAGGAATTGCTGGTGCTGAATTACTTCATAATAAGAAATAAAATCTTTTACTTCTTTAATAAAACAATTCATTTTTAATTGAATTTCTTTCATTTTTTTGAGTTATTTGTTTTCTTCTTTGAAGATAAATTTGACAATTATTGAATTATTTCTATTATAACTGTGTTATTATCTTTTCTTTAGATAAATGTCTTTCTTCTCTTCTAACAATAAAAACTTGTTTTTTTCTTTTAAATATCAAAATACTTTTATTCATAATAACTTTCACTTGTTATATTCGATTATGAATCATTCACAATTTTTTTATCAAGAAGTTGTTATAATAACTGATCTTTTTAATGTAAATTAATTATTGTCATTTCACTCTTATTTTTGAATTATTTCTAACATTATTTATAACATATTGTATTTTTATACATCAAACTATTCTTTCTTGCATTAGAAGTATTTTTATACTACAACAAAATAACCATTATTTCTAGACAACCAAATTTGAAGAATGTTTTTGAGTTACTTAAGAACCACATCTTCATTTATTTAAAAATATTTAAATTCTACTTCACTGAGATAATGACAACTCTCATTTTATTCACATTTATTGTACTTTCTTTTGGAAAAACTTGGTGTTGGAGTGACGATTATAATGATTATGTTAAATATAAATACACAAAGAAATCAAATTGTAATGGAAAAGGATGGAGTTACTCTTCAGAGAGTGTTATTAATAGACAAACTTATCGTTTTGAAATAAAAAATAATGAAATAGGATCAATCAAAAAGTTTAGTGATATTGAAGGAAGTATAAATGATAGAGATATGTATTTTTCATTTTCACCAAATTTTCAATCTAATTCCTTTAAAGTGTTAATAGTTGAAACTAACCGTCCAAAAATAATAATATGGATTTATCATAAACATGGAACTGATGGTCTTTTTGTTGGTATTGGTTGTTTTGAAAGTGATAATTGTCGTAAAAGTATTAGTAATAATTATGGAGCTTATATTTATATTTTTGATAAGTCAATTATTGTTTATTCTAAAATGGATGAGAAATGGGTTATTGATTTCAGTAATCGAGCTGTAAATTATGAAACTAAAACAATTCCATTCATTTATATTGACGGTGATGATAAACAAACTGTTTCATGTAAGTTTACAACTGACTTATTTAGTGGAAGAAGTTATAATGACCCACAGAGGTATTTATTCACTGGTAAAATCGATTCTGTGACTAAGATTGATAGTATGAACAACAATTTTATCATAAAGTCTGTATGTTCAAGAACAGTTAATGACAATACAATTCAACGATATATGGCAATTGACTCTTCAGATACTTCATTACACTCGATATGTGATTGTACTTCTCAATCAAACATAATATCTACTAATAAATCTAATTATGACTTTGTTGATTGCTCATCTAATAGTACTTATTTTGACCTTAGATTTAACCAAACAAGTTCTACATCAATTCAATTCCAAGTGTTTGAATGGTATTCAATTATTCCAGAGCCAGATAAACATTACTCATTTTCTGTTCCTGAAAACAAAGAATTGAATGTTCTGGAGTGCAGGTTTGAATCAACTTCAATTACTCTTGTTGAGGGAAAGATGACTTGTCATTCATTGTTTATTGATGCAAAATCAACTATTGTCATAAAAGAAGCATCATCTTTCTCAGTTTCAACCGTCACAACACTTGGAGAAATTAACAATCTAAATCAGAATGGAATTATTATCAACTTTGGGACATTGTCTAGCATTGACACTCCTATTATTATCACAACTGATCAGTCTCAATCAACATGTTTTGAACTTGTTTCTTCAAATCTACCTATTAATGTCATTATAAATGGTGGTTATGTATTAGAAAAGAAACTACTTAGAATATGTCCATCAAATGACATTGATTCAAATATTGTTTGCACACTGAAAACAAATACAATAAATAATACAAATACATACCAAAATGTTGAAGGAACAATTGTTCATTGTCCATGTTATGGTTTGAGTTGTATCACAAAATTTAGTAAAGAAGATACACTTATTATTTCATCAGAATATCAAGGTATTATTGAGTTGATTAACTCTACTACACAAGTCATTGAACAACAATATAAATCACTTAGTACATTAAGAATAAAAGGAATTAAAAACATTGCTATCATTACTACAAATTCAAAAACTTCAAATAACTTTGTACTAAATATTGAAGCTGGAAGTAAGATATTAGTCACTGGAAATGAAATAGGATTTTCTCAAAACAGTACAAATAAACTTTCAACGAAAGTAGGATCAGAATATCCATGTCAAGCATTATTCTTTAATGGAGAAACAAGTGAATGCAGTAAATGTAAAAACACAATGATTGATGAATATTGTCCATTTGATAATGAAATACCAAAGCATTGTTTAAAATACAAATCATTAGATGAATGTATTCAATGTGAAGAGAATTATTACTTAGAAGATAAATTATGTACCATATGTCCAACAAATTGTTTAAAGTGTTTAAATGGAGTATGTATTCAATGTAAAGATAATTATTTCTTAGACAATGGAAGTTGTTTGAATAAAACAGATCCAAATATTCAATTGATAATAAATAATGTAGTTATGAAATGTCGTGACTCTTTTTATTCTATTGGAAATGAATGTTCTTCTTGCTCAACGAATTGCCAATATTGTTCGATAAATGATAGAGGGTATGAAGAGAGTGTATGTTCTATTTGTTCAAATTCAACTATTCTTACTTCATCTCAGCAATGTTCAACAATTCCAAATTCAGAAAGAACAAGTAATATAAACGCAATAGAGTGTGAAAGTAAATACAAAATAGTCAATGGAAAATGTGAATCATGTAATCAATTTGGTTCTTTATGTCAGAAATGTACTTCTAATCAGTGCATTCTTTGTTTAGATGGGATTATTAATGAAAATGGTATTTGTGTAGACCCAACAACAACAGGATGTTTAAAAAAAGATGACATAAAAACAAGTTATTGTATGAGATGCAAAGATGCAGACAAATATTATGATGGGACAAGTTGTGTAAATACAAACAACTGTTTAACAATGAGAAACAAAGAAATGTGCTATGAATGTCAACAAGGATATATTTATAACACAAAAACCTCTCAGTGTGTTAATAAAACAAATTTACAGACAAATGTACTAGAAAGATGTATCATTTGGAGAGGTGAACAAAAAGATTTATGTTTAAGGTGTCAAGACAATTATTATTATGACAAAGAATTACAGTCATGTGTTGGTTGTAGTTCAGAATGTTTAACCTGTTCAAATAAAGATATTTGTTTCACTTGTAAAGAAGGATATTCATTAATAAATACAAGTTGTATTTTATCATCAACAATTATTCAAAATTGTAGATTACTTATTGTTGGAGGAAGTAAATGTGCTATTTGTAATTCTCATTATTACAGAACGAATGATGGGTTATGTGAAAAATGTTTAGAACATTGTAATTTATGTTATAAAGATGACACTTGTAATGCATGTGATGATAATTATTTCTTATTAGAAAATGCAACAGAATGTATATCATTTGATGAATTAACACATTGTAAAATAAAGATGAGTGAAGGATGTGAGTATTTGATTTACCGAAGGGTGATTTTATTCTTTCTTTTTAATTTGTCTAAGAAATATTTATGACTTGAGTGTTGTATTAAATAAACTAAAGATCAAAGAAGTAAAAATAACTTAAGATATTGTCTCTACAAAACGTATCATTCTTTATTTCCTTTTTTTGTCAAATTCACTATTTCCAAATGAATGGAAAGATTCTTTATGAAACATTGAAACGAAAAGAAACAGAAAAAATTTGATATTTGAGGATGTAATTAGAAATTATTCAATGTATGAATATTGATATTGATATTAAATTTCTTAAAACAGTATTAAGAAGACTAATTGAATGTGACACACAAAGTTTCAACAAAGATGATTTTGAAATAATTAAATTATTAAAAGAAATTTGTGAAGGGATTGGGATGATTGTTGAAACTATACCCACAAAGAATAATCCAAATAAAATAAATTTTATAGCTTATTGGACGAAGCAACCACATAAAATCATTTTTAGCTCACACTTTGATACAGTTCCTGTTGGAGATTTGAAAGAGTGGAAATATCCACCCCTTAAAGCAACAGAAGAAATAGAATTAAAAACAGGGAATGTTTATGTTTATGGAAGAGGATCAGCTGATATGAAAAGTGGATTAGCTAGTCAATTATGTATCTTAAAATATCTTCAAGATATGCAAATGAAGATTAGAGATTCAATTCTATTAATTGTTTCAAGTGAAGAAGAGGATGGTACTTTAGGTGCTAAAGATCTTGTTAAACAATGTCCAGAATTGTTTACATCAGTTGAATTAATTATTGTTGATGAACCAACAAACTTAGATATTGGAATAAGTGAAAAAGGTGAATTAAGATTAAAGGTAGAGTGTCATGGAATTTCTGCACATGCAAGTTCTCCAAGTCTTGGTTTGAATGCAATTGAAGGAATATACTCTCTCATACAGTGGATTAAAAAAGATTTACCCTTATCACCTGATGATACAAACCAAACGACATTTAATATTGGAACAATTAAAGGTGGAAATGCACCAAATGTTGTTGCTGATTATTGTGTTACAGAGATTGATATTAGAACTTCTTCATATATTTCAGTAGAGGATATTATGAATAATATTAAAACAATAATTGCTTCTATTGAATCTACAACACGGTTTAAATTTGTTCTTTATGAAGAAAGTAAGGAATTACCAGTTACAACTGATATCAATAATAAGTATGTTAAATTATTAACAAAATGCATTTATAAAGAAATGCCTAAAAGTTCAATCAAAAGAATGGCATATGCAACTGATGCTGCTGCATTTGCCCACACTCAAAACAAACCACAAGTCATAATCTTTGGACCAGGCAATGAAGCAGTTATTCATAAACCAAATGAATATGTTATATTTCAATTTGTAGAAATTGCAACAAAAGCGTTAGTCTCATTTCTTTCTGAAATAAATGAAGAATAACTTAAAATGAGTCATTTAATAATAGTATTAAATTAAATTGAATAATAATGATTTTTATTTTTGATTTATTTTTCAACTAAACACATAACTTACTTTAAAGAAATAAAACAGAAAAACTAAAAAAAAAATTTAACTTTAAAATAATAAGAAAAGGTTAAAATGTTAATCATTTTATCACTTCTCTGCTTAATTTTTATTATTTTAGTCATTCTTTATATCAAAAGTTCAACTCAGAAGAAGTTAGATCAACAACTTTATATATACCAACAATTAAAATTTGATGATGCACCTAAACGATCATGTGTTTCAAATAGTCATCAACCATTATTTAAAGTATCGAATGTATCAAGAAAAACTTTTTCAATGAATGATTTTGAAACTTCTTTTATTTCACATCTTCCACCATCAAACGTACCTAAAATAAATGTTCCACGATCATCATATAAATTTACTGAAGATGAAATAAATTCAAAAAGGTCATTTGTAACAAACTCATATAATGCAACAACCCAAAATAACCCAACCGTAATTCAACCATTTCAACAAACAACAATGAATGCTAATTCTTCTGGATTTTATCCTGTTGCACCATCTTCAATACCTCCATCCATTTTAAACCCACCTATTATAACAAAACCATTTCAAAATTTTCTTCCATCAAATGTACCAGTTCAACCAAATAAACTGAAAAACCAAAACTTATGTAATAAAACACCTTTAACTCAATTCAATGTTATTACTACTTCTACAACAACACCCAACTTCACTTCTTCAATAACTTCTAAATCTTTATCATCTTCTTATTTTCAACAACCATTAGTACCACCTCAATCAAAAACACCTCCAATGTATGAAAGAGTTAGAGTTCCAAGTCCAATTCAAAAACCTGAATTAGCTGCTTATTCTCCTGGAATACAACGAAACCAAATTCGACCTTCTCTCCAAAGACATTTTGCTGAACTATCATTAAATACAAAGAAATTTGAAACACCAACTGGAAGGTCATTAAAAGGGAATGAAGAAGAATCTCCTTTAAAGAAGAAAAATCAACCAGAATCCGACATTTCATATTCAGAAGATCCATATATTGAAGTTGACAACTAATATCATTTTTAGAATTTAATATTTTTGTTATTTGAATAACATAAAAAAGAGAAGGAAGTAAAAATAAAGTAAACAAAAATAGAAAGGATGAACTAGAAAAAGGAAGAAGGAAATAGTAAAAAGAATAATAAAAAAGTAGAAATATGAAGAAAAAGGAAAAAAAGAAAATAGAGAAGATCTGACAAAATAGAAAAGAACTTTCATGTCGAAGGAGTCTAGTTTATATGAAGGGTTTGATTGTTGTTTTTAAGGTAAAATGTTTTTAAAAAGAAGTGAAAACAAAAAGGTTATCATTTCTAAAGAAAAAGAGAAATAATCAACATGTAGCGATAAAATGACAACAGAGTTTAAAATAGTTTTTACAGGAGATCCATCTGTTGGTAAGACGTCTCTCATATATCAAATGATAGTTTGTTCTTATTAATAAAAAAGAAATGAAGAAAACAAAACAAGAAAAAGAAAATATAAAAAGAAAATAAGAAGAAAGTATTAATTTAAATAGGAAGGAAAGTTTCATGAAGAACTTCCAAGTACTATTCCTGAGTCACAACAACATACAGTTACAGAGGGGAATCAAATCTATGTATTTAATCTGAATGATACAGCAGGACAAGAAGTCTATCGTACAGTAACATCATCATATTATAGGTCGTGTCATGGAGTGTTTTTAGTATATGCACAAGATGATAAGACATCATTTGAAGATTTAAGGGGATTTTTTGATGATATCACTACATATACGAAAGGAAAGAAGCCTATCATTTATCTTCTAAGCAATAAAAAAGATTGTGAAAAAATTGTAAGTACAGAACAAGGACAAAAATTTGCAAAAGAAAAAAAGATAGTCTTTTTTGAAGTTAGTGCTAAGACAGGAGAAGGAGTTAAAGAAGCATTTGAAAATATGCAAACTGAATTAAAAGGAACTGGTGGAAATAAAAAAGGAAATTCAAAATCAGGAAAGTGCATTTTGTTGTAATTTGTAAAGCCACATAAAATGATAAAATGTTTTGATTTAATTTAATTTAAAAGATGGTTTATATCTTCTTTTTATAGTCATTGTCTTTTCTTTTCTTTTTTTATTTAATAAAATTATGAAAATTTCAGGTTTATAAAACAAAATAAAAGAAAAATAAAAAGAAAAAATTGTGAATAAAGGAAAGAAATAAGAATAAAGAGTTTTTCACTGAATGAATAAAAAATTATCAATTTTTTAAGAAAAAAAAAATAAAAAGTACTGAGAATAAAGTAAACAAAGTTAGTATGAAGAAGTTAGGTAATACTTCTTTATTTATCATAGTCTTTCTTATTCTTTTAATTAATGAAAGTTGTTTTGGGAAAAAATGTCAATGTGGTGATGGTATTTGGGATAGTTTTTGTGAAGACTGTGATGGAAATTCTCATTGTGGAAGTAATTGTAAATGTAAAGATGGATATCAACCAAATGGATTAGGTGAATGTATAATACAATGTCTTTATGGAGATAATTGTTTAGAAGGATGTTATTTACCAAATGAATGTGAAAAATGTGATACAACAAAACATATTAAAAGTGATTGTAGTGATTGTGAAGATGGATATGTATTTAATGGATATGGTAATTGTATAGAAAAACCCAAATTAGTTGAGACATGTTTTTCTTTTTTTCAACGAACAAAGAATGATAAAGTGTATATTATTAATGAAAATACTGATATTTTTCATACTGTTTTTATGAATGAAACTGTATTTAGTAAAACATTATGTTCTGATGTTGTTTCATTTACACAACCATATACATATGGTATTTGGATTAAATTAATAAGTCTTAAAGAACAATACGTCAGTATTGCTTTAAATGATTATACTGAATCAGAATTATTATATATTGATTCAATTGGAAATTATTTTGAAAATCCATATTCAATTGCAACACAAATGGATTGTGATGAAATTAATACTCCAAGATGTAATTTATTTAATTTAAAAAGTGCAGAAAATATATTAACACCAAGATTAATTATTCATTTACAACCATCTATTCCTATTTATGTTTTTATTCATTCTCCTTATGGAAAAACAATTTCAGAACCATTCACATTTTATCTTAAATCTATTACTCATCCTTGTATTGAAAGGGCTATTGAAATAGACTTAATTGATGTTATTGATGTACCTACAATATATTTAGATAAATATACTACATTTGTTTCAACTTCTGTTTGTCTTACAAAAGCACAATATGTTAAATGGTATAAATTAATTGGAGCAAATAAAAAAATGAAAATTAGTTTATGTGATTCTAGTTATGAAGGAAGTGTTTCAATTCAAGTTATTGGTTTTCCTGATAAAAATACTATCGATTCTTGTTCAAGTACTCACGCTCGTTGTAATAAATATGTCTCTGGAAATTGTCCAAATACACTTTATTCAACAACAATTGTTGAATTAATTGATACTGAACAATTATATGTTGGAATTACATTCTCAAATCAAGAAATTAAAGGAAATATTTCTATTTCTTTTGAATTTGTTTGTCCAAACAATTGTGGAGAACATGGATTTTGTAGTGAATCAGCAGAAGGTTGTATTTGTGAAGAAGGTTATGTTAATACTGATATAGGATGTAGTAGTTGTGGTAATGGAAAGAAGGATGAAAATGAAGATTGTGATAATTCTTATAAATTTGATTCACAGTGTGATAATAATACATGTTCTTGTATTTCACCTTTTGTACCAATAAATTTTAATGGAACTATACGATGTAGTTTACCTTCATGTGGAAATTATCAAATTGATATTGGAGAAGAATGTGATGGTGGAATGGAATGTGAATATTGTTTTTGTATTAATGGAGCACAACCTCATTCTATTCCACAAATTGGTTGTATTCCTTCTACATGTGGTAATAATTTACTAGATAAAGAAGAAGAGTGTGATGGTGGAGAAGGATGTTATGCATGTCAATGTATTGAGGGATATTATTCAGTACATTCGTTGTCATGTAGAAGAAATAATTTTATTAAAGACACTATTATATATTTATCATCCATTATTATATTTTATATATTCTTTTGGACTGCATTATTATTCATTCATTTATTCATTTATACAAAGTTAAATAAAATTATTACTAAAGAATTAAATGAACAAGAAATGATTCAAGAAATTTGTAATTGTGGTGTTATTCCTTTTGATAAAGATAATGCACAAAGACTAGAGATCTTTAATAATCCTTACTTTTCTTTTTCTGATTCTATTATATCATTTCTAAACGAAGGGAAATTAGATCTTGAAAAAAGTTATTCATTCCAATTTACTCTACGTAATACTTACAAAAAGGTATTATTATATACATTTCATGGTAAAGAAAATCCAAAATATAAACTTATTTTTTCTCCTACAACAGGGGCATTACATACACAAGAAGTAGTTACTATTACAGCTCAACTTATGATATTTTGTACAACAAATTTAAAAGAACGAATTCATGTCACTTTGAGGTTTGGTCAAATTAAATCGGCAATGAAAGAAATTGATGATATAATTACAAGAAATAACCCACAATTACTTCAAGATTCTAGTTCAACCAATTCATCATCATCACTTATTCTTCAAACACAATTACATACTGAAGAAAGTAAATCTTCTCTTCTCAGTATTAAAACTAAAGTTAAACCACCAAAAGTTGAAAGGTTTTATGTTAATATGGAATTACGAGCAGAAAGTAAATTATCAACACATATTGATTTTGATGAAATAGAATTAAAACAACCACCTGTAGGACAAGGTTCATTTGGATTAGTATATCGAGGGTTTTGGAGAGGAGTAGAAGTAGCAATTAAAATGATTAAGTCAGATCTGTTAGACACAGAAACATTATTACCAAGTTTTAAAGCAGAGTGTAATTTAATGGAGAGAATACGATGTCCCTATGTTTTGTCTTTTGTTGGAAGTGTACAAATGCCTGACCAATTATGTTTAATAACAGAATTTTGTAGTATGGGTTCTGTAAGAAAATATATGAAAACAAATTCATTAACAACACAATTAAAAGTAAGAATTTGTCAAGACATTGCGAGAGGAATGAATTACTTACACCAAAATAATATTGTTCATAGAGATTTAAAAACAGATAATATTTTAATGTTTAGTACTAATCCAAATGAAGCTATGTTATGTAAAATTTCTGATTTTGGAACATCACAATTATATGTTGAATCAAAAAATTCTAAAAAAATCGTTGATGTTGGGACTCCTGCTTATATGGCACCAGAAGTTCATAATCCTAAACTAGGAGATGCTAGTTTTAAATGTGATGTTTTCTCATTTTCTATTTGTTTATTAGAAATATGGTTGACTCATCAACCATATGACCCTGAACAATTTCCTGACTCTGAATCTATTCAATCCTTTATTATGGCAGGAAAACGTTTAGTTATACCGAATGAATGTGTGTATAAACGAATTATTAGAAAATGTTGGGCACATAAACCAAAAAATAGACCAACATTTAATGAAGTTTCATTAGAATTGGATTCTATTTATCAAAGAATAATTAAAACTACAAGAAAAAGACAAAACACTATTTCTGTATTACATCCAACTGAATTCAGTAGTACTACTCCATTTTCTCCAATTGAATCACCTGATACATTAGCTCCTGAATCTTTATCAAGTACTCATGGAGTAACTCCAAAAATTATGTTACCTGAATTATCTGTAGCACCTTTAAATATTCCTGATGGAAAGATTCAAGCAAAGGTTAGTGATAGGTTAAATAAAGTTACAAACACTCAAAGATTTTCAACTCCTTCTGTTCATTCTCAACTAGAAGAAAATCAAGAACAAGAAGAAAAAGATGATGAAGAATATTCTGTTGTAGAAATATCAACACCAAATACTCCAGCAACTTCATTAAATCAATCAGGAATTCAAACACCAAGGAATCGTAAAAGAATGAATAGTATCATACAACCAAGTAGTATAGATAAAATTAGTACTGTAGGAGATAATACTTCGAATAATGGAACAATTTCAATTAAATCAAATAGCAATTTATTAGAACATGAAGAAGTATTAAGTTTAAGAAAAGATGATACAAACCCATTACGTAAAAAAAGAACAAACGTTATTTTAAAAGATAAATTTGATACATCTTCATTTGGAGATATTCCAACACCAATATTAATTGCTCTTGAATCAAGCAATGAACAAAAAAGATATTCATGTGGCACAACAGGGGGATTAAAACAAAAATCACCAGTTATATTGTATAATGAAAATAAACAACCAATTAAAATAAAAATAAGTTCTTTTACAGAAGAAGAAAATAAAAGAAAGAAAAGTGAATTAAGAAATGTAATTTCTCCTGAGATTAATCAAAAAAATGTAAAAACTACTTTACTAAAAGAAGGTAAAGAATAATATTATTTATATAAATGTATGTTTTTTACATCTCTTTTTAAATGTATCGAGTTTTTTTTTAATTTTTTTGGCGTTGTAATTGGAAGAGTCTTTATACTTTTTTTTTCTTTATGAAATACCCCATTTTTGGTGTTTTCGAAGTTATATGAAAAAGGGGGTTGGAGTGAAGATACAAAGTATATCACTAATAAAATTACTAAAGAAAAAATCATTAATTAAGTTATTCAAATGAAGATAGATAATTCGTGTTACCTTTTGAAATTACTTAAACCATTTCCTAGAACAAAGAGAAGAAGAAGAAATTCTTAAATAAAAAAAGTCTATTTATAAAAGTGTTTTTTTTGAAATAAAAGAATTAGAAAGAGTTCTTTAATGACAAAATCAAAAACGGAAACATCAAATTAACAAGTTAATATTCGCATATGAAATCACCATGACTAATAACTAGAATTTAGCAACTAATACGAAATAAAAAAAAAGAGTTTTCAGATAGTAAATAGTTCGGTAAAAAGAAAATCATAATAATAAGATATTTCAAGTTAATTGTAGTGTTATTTAAAGAATCTACTAATAAATCATTTTAATTAAATAATAGTGAATGCAAGGACAATTTATTAAAGAATCAACTTTTATTAAAACAGAAAAAACTTGGAAAGAACCAAAGAAAGATTTCAGAACAGTTAGGAATCAACAAGTTTATCAACAAGGAATTTTATTAGCTTTATTAAATCAATATTTTGATATAGAAATAAGAAAACCATTAAAAAAAGCTCATTCATTTGAACAATTAATAAGAATTCATAGACTAATTATTGGTTCAGAAATTATTGATGTAGAAAAGTTTTGTGATCATAGATGTAAAGAAAAGTTTCAAAAGGATCTTTGTAAAGGAATTAATGAAAAAACAGCAAAAAGGAGATTAGAAAATATTAGAATTGTTGAAATGGTTTTCTTATTAATGGATATTTTAATGGAATTTGGATATCTTTTTGATACTTCTTGTACTAAAGGAAAGAAAGGAACTGTTAAGTATGAACGAATCCAAAATATCTTTTATAATGGTAAAAAGGTTTATGACTATAATCATTTTATTTCTATTGGAAAATCTGTTAACTCTTATTTGTTATTATCTTTATCTAACCAAGATTCATTTTATTGGAAAAGAGGAACTGGTTGTTCAGAGATCTCTTGATCACTTTCGCATTTTTAAATATTTTTTTGTTCTTTTTTTAATATTTTCTTTTTTGATTTATTGAATAAAATGTTGAATTAGATGAAATTTTATTTGGAATTGGTAATTGAAACATAAATACTTAAAATTATATTAATACATTAATAATTGAATAAAATAAAATTTTTATTTAGAAATAACATTAAATGATAAAATATGTAAATTAAAGTTATTTTTATTGAATAATATATAAATAGAAATTAATGAACCAAAAAAATAATAAAGAAAATGAATTAATGGAATAGCAAAATAACATTAATATAATTTGGATAATAAATAATATTATAATGTATTGTTATATTGTTCTTAAATTAGAACAAATCCAATAATAAAACAACAAAAATATATGAAATTACAAAAAAAAAAAAAGTCAAATATTCAGATGATGATAAGAATTAAAAGTAGAAATATTAAATAATTATATAATAAGTATAAAAGTATATAATAATTATAATAATTATAAATAACATTCTTTTAATTAAAATTTAATTTGAATAATAATTATTTTAAGATAAATGAATTATAAATGAATTATAATAATAATAAAAATAAACAAATAAATAATAACAATAAAATATTGTTTAATATAGATGAAATTTTTTATTAACATTTGAAGTTGATGTTTAATTTGAATCATTTCATCCACTTCTCCCAATTTTCACGTTCATTTTCCATAAAAGCAATAACACTTTCTAAGTGTTTATATTTGGTACTTAATTCTTTTAAAACAGATTGATATTCTTCAATAGTAGAATATTTTTTATGACACATTGAATCATACCATTCATCTGGGACAAATTGACTATCAACTTCAATATCATTTTTAAGACCATTTAATAACACTAATAAACCATTTTTATGTTCTACTTCTTTTCTTCTTTTTTCATTTTCTTGAACTTGTTGTTTTAAAGACTGAATCACTTCTTTTGTTCTTTTTCTTTTTTTATCTTCAACAATTAAAGTTTTTTCTATTCCTAGTCCTTCAATCTTTGCTTCAACAGTAAATAACCCACTAGAATCAATTATAAATCTAACATTAACAGGAGTTTTCTTTGGTTGTGGTTTATCTATTTGAATTTCAAAATTACCAAGTTTTAAATTTTCTGGACAAATATCTTTTTCTCCTTCATAAATATCAATAGATAACGTTTTCTGTCCATCTATAGCAGTCATTAATTGTTTTTCTTTAACAACTGGTATTTCTGTTCCACTTGGAATAATTTTTTGAAATAATACTCCAAGGTTACAAACTCCTAATGATATCGGAACAACATCAGTATAATGTTTATCTGTTCCAAATGCCTTATATGCTGCTCCTTGACAAACTGCCAACATAGTATCTATTGTTGTTAATGGTTGTTTACCAAAAAATTCTTTAATCATTTTTTTAAAACAACATAGTTTAGTAGGACCACCAACAAGAATAACATCTTTTATTTCTTCTTTAAGAATACCTTTTTTGTTTAATGCTCGTTCTATCGTTTGTTGTATTCTTTTAAATAATGGATCACATAATTCTATAAATGTTGTTGAGTCAATAACCATAGATACTTCTTGTTGAATGTCTTCAAGATCTTTTTCTGGAACAACATCAGATAATGAAACTTCAACGTCATTTGTTTCTTCATTTGAAAATAAAATCTTTGCAAGTTCACAATTATGAAGTAGTCGTTTCTTTGATCGTGTACATGCCACTTCACTTCTAATGCTCTTGTCTTGAAAAGTAACATATTTTTCTAATTGTTCATTATTCTCTAATAAATAATTCATCATCTCTATGTCAATATCTTTCCCTCCTAAATGTGTATCACCATCAGTTGCATTAACAGTAAATTCTTTATCAGATACTGTGACAATAGAAACATCAAACGTTCCTCCACCAAAATCAATGACTATATATTTCCCACCATTTATTAATGTTTGTGACTTGTCATAGGCAATTGCTGCTGCCGTTGGTTCATTAACTAATTCAATTACTTCAATTCCAGCAATTTCAGCAGCTGCAGCAGTAGCATCTCTTTGTTCACTAGAAAAATTAGCAGGAACAGTAATAACTGCCTTAAAGTTATCACTAAGACTTTTGTTATTGATAGAATTAATTGCTTGTTGTTTTAAATATAGTAGTATTTGAGATGATACTTCTACTGGAGACACTTTCTTTATTTGGTTATCTTGTTCAATTTCATAAAACAATTCACCGTCTTCAACAGAAATTTTGTTTAATAAAGATTTATCATTTTCAATTTCATTTGGTTTTACTCTTCTGCCAATAAATCTTTTTGCTTCATATATGATGTTCTTTGAACGTTTGTTCATCATGGTTGCAGAAACCCCACAAATAATGTCTTGTTCAGATTTTGCAGGATAATACACTACAGAGGGGGTAAATTTATCATTATTAAATTTAATTACTTCAACACTCTGTTTGTTAACGTCATAATAACCAATAGAGCTATTTGTTGTTCCTAAATCAATCCCAAAGACAACTTCCATTAATCCTTTCTTCCTTTGTTTTTCTTTTTCAGTTTTTTCTTTTTTTCATTCATTTTTGTTAAATTATAGTTTTTTATGACAAAAACTATTATTTAATTATCTTAACAACATGAAACGTCAAATTCTTATTTTCTTTCTAATTTTTGAGAAGAGAAGATAAATAAAACCCACACTTTCTTTCTTGAGTATTTACAATATCCATTTATGATTATTGAATTTTCATCGGATTTCAAAATATGTTCTTATTAGATCTATTTTATAAATACTGTATTATTCAATGACTATTACTATTAAGATATCAAAGAATATTGTTTTTTATTCTCAAATAAACCAGTTAGTACTTCTTCCATAGAAAATAAAAGATTATTTGATTTTACCATCAACTTATTCAAATTATTAATTATTCAAATAGGATCATTGAAACTTCTTTATCGTGACTATAGAAGAGGTTGAGTCAACAATCAGAATATATTTTTATTTAGTTTCAATACTTATACCTTCATGCCTTTCATTGGTATTGAGTATATGTTCTTTATATAATGTTTCCTTTTAATTTTCATGCATCATATTCATTATCAAATCTGTGTATTCACTCTCTTCTTTATGAGATTCTTTTCATTGAAAAGAAAACAAGACATAAACATTCAAAGTCATAGAGAAGATAACTGTTCATTACAATAAAAAATTAATTAAAAAAGCAAATATTTAAATGTTAATGGAATTTGTTTCTATTGTTTTGTTTTATTCATTTGATATTAATCCAATCATTTATCTTCATAGACTAATTTAAATTGATATGTTTGAATATGATAGAATTAATAGTTAAAAAATGTTCATGATTTTAATCACAATGTTTTTAACTTCTTTATTTCTTTATTTAATCTAGTACTTGATGTATTTATTATTCATTTGTTTCAATTTATTATTTAATTTATTTTTATATATCTAGTTTCTTTATTCTTTATTTATTTTATTTAAACACAATCAATTAAAATTATAATATTCAACATTATTCGTATGAGTTATTAGACTCTTTTTATTCTTTTTATTTATTACTTATATTTCATCTTCATGTTTTATTTCTTTTATATTGTGCCAATGAATATTTATAGTTATTTATTTTCTTTAAACTAAAATTTAATTCATTTATTGTTATTATGACACTATCATAATTGAAATATCTTTTATTCCACGAGGTGATTTGTTTTATTTTCCAATTCTCTTTATTTAATATCACATGTGTTTCATATAACGATTTCCAATATTCTAAAGTAATATCGTTATTTGGATATATTTCATTTTTTTTGTTTCTTCCTTATTCTAATTTTCTTATTAGAATCAAACATGATTTTATTTGTATTGATTCTGATTATTTCATTTTTATTAAATTTAATTCTTTCTTTTATCATTGTTATCATATATTTTAGGTACTTTATTCTTTCTAGTGTTTTAACTTTTATTCCTTCTTCATCATGTTCATTTAATTTCATGATGTATTTTATCCTGTACAATTTCATTGACTAGATTTTCTAGTCTATTGATTTTCTTTAGGAT